ATGGGTTGTGGAAGTTTCCTAAAGGTCCGATTATTGGAAATGAAGTGGTGGAGATTTCTGTGGGAAGATCAGTGTTGGCTGCCTGCTCTTTCAGTCCTTTGTGCTATTCACTAACTTGAGTCAGCATTTGTCAGCTGCCAGGCAGTGTGCTATGGGAATATACTGATAGGAAAATGAGGGTATCCTAGTCTCTGCTCTTCTGGAGCAGAGATGTTTTCCAGTCAGGAAAACATCATGACAAATACCAACAGAACACTGAGAGATAGTCCCTCAGTGTATTTCCTGACACCTTCCACAAACAGGGAGGTGTATATCACCAGCAGCCTTGCTACTGAGAGCATCCTGCAGATGGAAGCAATGCCCTCAGATTGTGTCAAGAATGTAGAAGTTTAGGCCTCCCCTGGACCCACAATGTCACAAACTGCTTTTTAACAAGGTCCCAGGGAATTCCTGGTCAGACTGGGTTGAGAAATGAGGTGGTAGGGTGAATGGGAATCCATAGTGCAGGCTGGGTGGTCAGTCAGTCTAATTCAAGGACTGTCATGCCTGGGAGCAGCTCTGGTGGGAAAGTGCTTGGCTCTTCAGGAAAGTTCAGGGAGTGTGATGGGGCCAGGGCTGGGTCAGTGGAGTCTGTGTCAAGAAGAACCTTGGAGATCCCCAATTTGGAGACAACCCTATTTTCAGGACCACTCTAAACTCCTTTCAATTTCTTCTTCTTTTTTTTTTTTTTGTGTGTGTGCTGTACTGGAGCTTGAACTCAGGGTCTCTAGGTCTCGCTTGGCTATTTCCACTCAAGCAGATGGCACTCTACCACTTGAGCCACACCTCCACTTCTTGCTCTTTTGCTGGGTAACTGGAGATGAGAGTCTCACAAACTTCTACCTAAGTTGGCTTCCAGCCATAATCCTCAGATTTCAGCCTTCTGAGTAACTAGGACTTTAGGCATGAGCCACTGGTGCCTGGTCTTCAGGGTTTTGTCATCATACAATGATGCACTGCATGAGTTGCATGAAGCCTTTGTCATTACTCTAACAAAATACCTGAGATAAGTCCCATCTAGGTTGAAGGTATATTTTAACTCAGTTTTCATAGTCACTTAGCACTCTCAGTTTGGTCCTGTGAGGAGGCAAAACATCATGGTGGAAGCACATGGCAGAGGAGGACCTTTCGCCTGAAGGCCTGTAGGGAGCAGAGGGGAAGGAAGGGGCAGGGTTTCAATATTCCCTTCAAGGGCAAGTCCTCAATGACCTAAGTTCCTCCCACTGGGCCCCACTTACCAAAGATTCTACCAACTCCAATAGAACCACAGGCTGGAAACCATTTGGGTTTGTATAAAGATCAAATCAGTCAATAAAAACTGATCCTAATCCTGAGCCACACAGCTCTCTGCAAGAGATACAGACAAAGCTGTGCTTTGCAGGATTGGCAAAGGGTTAGCATACTATATTTAAAACAACTGGCAATGACATGCAAACCATGATGATGATGCTACTGTAAATAGCTGATCAGTCCTGTGAGTGTCCAAACTTCCAAGGAAAAACCAGTTGAATGAGCGGCACAAAGCGTGATCCTGCAGGGTAGAGGCTACTAGGCCCCAGACTCTTTTTTTTTTTT